GCGGGTGTCTACAACACGTTTGAGAATCTTTTACGTCATAAAAGCACCGTGACTGACAATTCTGTTCTGAAAACTAAAGGTGTTCGGCATGGCTACGGTGCCATGTCTGTGTACGTGGGGCTAAAGGCCACTAAGGAAGAGCTGGGACTTAAGGCCCAGAATGTGTGGGCCTTTACAGGAGATGATCTAGATAAAATCACTAAAGACTACCTAGAAATGGATCCATCTACTGTCGGTACTGAGGACATTCCGCTGTTGTTTATATCATTTCCGTCCACCAAGGATCCTGAATGGGACAAACGGTACCCTGGTAAGTTAACACCTCATCTGTGATAGTTGGAATTTTTAACCCTGTTTTAAAAGTTCAATTTGAATTGTTTGTTTCAGGCGTTTGCTCGGCCGCACTAGCATTAGTGCTATAAATACTACCGAGGGTAAATAACGGAATTATTATTATAATTAAGGGCGAAGAGAGAGCAGAGGGGAAGAAACTCCTTCCTTCTCCCTCCACCCCCTCCCCCTTCAATGTCAAATGTCATCAAATATACCCCAAAGGAAGGCCTGCCTGATACTCAGGCTACAGTAAATGAAACTGAGGAAAGTCTTGCCAGATGAATGCCAATATCAATCTACACCCACTGAGCTTTACCGACAAAATTTATTGAAGAACCACTGTAGTTTACCCTGTGATTTGTTGCAAAGTTAATCTCGCCCTTGTGTTATTCTGCCGTTAACATTCGCAGGTAAAACCACGTGCACGATCATAACACTGGCGCGGTATGAGTGGTTCGAGCAATGGGAAAACGAGCGGGTCATGAAGCGAGGCGCAGAATATGAGGAAATTAAAAACCGTATTGGTAAACGCATTTGGGAACAGACTTGCAAGATCTTTCCACAGATTCGTGACAAGGTGGATTTCTTTGATGTAGGAAGCCCTCTTAGCAATAGGTACGCTACTGCAATTTACACACATTTCACTGAAGTATATCTTCGCAGTAAGACGCCTGGATTACGCAGGCATGGTTAAAGAGTGTAAAAGGAGAATGCAAAGCTTACCCCATAGTACTACACCTTACAATGTAAGTTTAATGGACTTCATTCCCCTCTTAATCCTTTGGTTTTGCAGTATACCAGGCAAAACATTGATTACTTGGAACCAGACTCCAAAGTGAGGGGAAAAGGACAAATACCCTGCGGGCAGAGGTTTCTCTCTTGCGTGGCATTTAGCATTAACGAAATCGTTCGCGTGGCTTGTCGGTTGTGTGAAAAAACCAACTACGCGACAGACAAGCCACGCGAACGACTTCGTAAACGCTAAAAGCCATGTAAACGGCCGATTTAGACAGTACGATTTAGGCTTACGTACGCAACTAGCATCGTAAAGACTTTCGACCATCCCCACGCGCACAATCTTCACTTACGACATCAAAAATGTGTCGTACGAATGTTGTGGTTCTAACATTTACACGACACGATCTGTCGTGAAGTCATGACGCATGCTAGTTGCGCACGATAGTCGCCTGTCGTAACCAAAAATCTTACCGTCTAAATCGGCTTCAAGAGAGAAACCTCTGCTCGCCGGGTAAATGATGAATAACGGGGCGAACGCGAAGAAAGAGGCGAACCGAGCGGGTTACCCCTCCCCAGTCCCTCGTTCCTATTCCCAGGCTAAATAGTACAGTGTAGAAAAAAAATAAATTGATACTTTTGTTGCAGGTACTACATCGCGGCGCCCCGTGGGGAGATCTACGGTATTGACCATCACGTAGATCGCTTTAGTCCCCAATCGGCTGTAAAGCTTCGACCGGAAACCCCAATCCCTGGGTTATACCTGACCGGGCAGGATATCCTGAGCTGTGGGTTTGCGGGAGCTATGACTAGTGGTGTTATAACTGCTTCTGCTGTATTGAAGAGGAATTTATTCACCGACATCAGCCGTCTACAGAAGAAGCTGAAGAAAACACGGTGAGCCGTGCGTGAAATGGACCTCAGTGCTTTAAAGGTGGCTCAGTTTACAATTGTCATGGTTAAAAATTGTTCTTATGTTATTGCATTTTATTAAAGGACGAACAGCGCATGAAATAAGTGATTATATAATCACCGGCAAAAGTTTTAACCATCCTTGAGACTTTGCAGCGTAACGAACCTTTGCTTTGGCAAAATGCAACTGAAGAACTTTCCGTTGAATGGGGTCAGTCACTTATTTTAAGAATGGTTATACTTTGGGATTTCATCCTCGGTCAGACTCGGCAGAAGAGACAGACCGACCTTAACAGCATAATACAGTACCTTCTTCGTAGAAAATACTGCTTGATACAAAGTGAAATAATTGAATTATTTCAGATTGAATGCTATTAGGCAATGCTGTTAAGGTGTTTTGCTAACCGATCTGCGGTCAGTAAAATTTTAGCACCGTAAGAAGGTTGAGCAAGAGAACCTTGACGATCAAGATTTAAGTTTTTGATGTAATCCATGACACGAGAAGAAGGGTTTGAATTGATACGAAGTTGCAAAGATGTCTTGAAAAGCAAGGAGTTGCCAATGTTTGAGTTTAAGATTGAATACTCGGATGAAACAATCTTTCGTTTGCTAGATATAGCATCGTACAGGAACTCTTATTCTAAAAGAATAACAAGTTTGCATGCATGTTACTTCATAATCGTTCATAATCGAATTGGGCTGAGGAGAAAATGGAATAAGAATAAAACCATCATTTAAACTAAAAATTAACAAGAGTTGTTTTTCCAGGGCTGAACTTTAATAAATGTACATCATCTCTGATGCAACATACCAGTTTTGATTATTGTTTCGGCTGAAAACATTACCAACTGGGTGAAAGCACATACTGACTCAGTTACGATCGAGTGTAAATAGAAAACTGAATAAAAGTTTGTGTTCTGCTAGCTGACCAAATTCCAAGATAATATTAACGATTTGTTAGCTCAACTCGCACAAGAAGAACTTAACTCTGTTATAACTGATTTTGCGCCGTTTAAAAGTATCCTAGCTCCTGATTTAATGTGGCGATGTGTACAGTCATTGGTTGGCAGTAAGAAAAACACGTGTGATATTAAATAACTTAGAGAAACGTCCAACACTTTTATTTCTGTAAGTAACAGTCCTTATGGCTTAGCAGCCGAGAGTGCGTGATCTACAGCCATCATACAAGCAAACACAGTCAGCACCATTTTTGTCTTCACCTCTACCAGGTCTTCAGGCAGCGCGTATAATTTGGCACCAATTTTCCGAGACATTGAGATAGCATACTTGGCATTAGACAGCTTGTCTTCTTCTGTGTCTCCTTTGGTAACCATATTGTAGTGAATGAAACCCGGTTTTATAGCGTCGATCAAATCAAACACACATCCACTTGTTGAAATACTGGAATCCTTAAAACAGGTTATTCTGCTTTCTTTCCCGGCTTGTTGCAGCTTCTCGTTGACCCACGAGACGATTTCTTCGTCTTTGATTGGCTTGTCGCTTCCTGCGCATTTCTGTAAGATCACCAAGGTATATGCACGCATTGCCTGGTACAAGATACCCAACATCAGCTTCTTATTCCCGTCTAGTAAGTCCTGGCCGCCTATTCCAACCACTGAAAAATCGAGCGCTTTGGCAACTTCAATAGCGTAGTTGCAGTTTTCGAGTTTCTTCATTTTCTCGCTGATCTTCTTATAAGGTGGTCTGTTCACCTTGGTCCAATCCACCAGTCCATTTTTTATCTGCGTTAGTAAACAATACAACCTGATAGGTATTGTCTTTTGTTCTAAAGGTAAATTTATGGGGATTGATGGCATTGACCACGCATACAAGTTTTAGATGCAACTCGTGCCAGTAGCAGATCAAAGGGTCTACGAAAGCTTACCAGAAACTAATGGACAGGAACAAGGGGCGAGTTACTAGCGTTAAACAGTAGCTACAGTGTGCAGACGTTTGTAGCCCCCCTGTCAAAAAAAATTCCTGAATCCTCCCCTGGCAGCTATGGATGGCCAACCATTTATCGTTATTCACTCTGTTAATACCCCAAAAGCACCATTCCCAGCTACCGTACAGTCTGTATTTACTCCTCTAAGTTCAGTTTTATATTATAGGGGTAAAGTTTCTGACACGTTTCGTTCTGAAACATGGTTAAGAGTTAAGTACCCTCACGTTAATCGAAGATTATGTAAAATAAACTGATGAAGAGTATAAGAGGAGGGTATCAGCCTTGGGTGTAGGTGGGTATGCTTATTACGGGTAACATTTGTTGCCCTTAACTGAAATGTGAGATGAGTTAAATAATGGAGTATAGCCAGGGGTGGGGTTAGTATATATGATCCCTTTCCTCATTGATGATCGGTAAGAAGTATAATAGTTTCGAAAATTTGTGTTGTTTTTTGGAGTTGAACCCCTCCAGAAAACTGTTAGGCTTTATACTTTACCAGGTCAAACAGCTGTAGTAGAACAGAGCCATCATCAAGATCCAAAAAGAGGTTGTGTACAAAAGGCTTGACTCCCATGCTGTTCATCCAGTTGCGGAACGTTTTTTCCTCGCGTGTTTCCTCGAGGTTGGGCAACTCCTCCTCAGCTGGTTCCAGCGCGGGAAAGTTGTGGAAAAGGTTGCACAAGAAAGCGAGATTCAGCTTAGCGTTACCTTTGATGATATCCTTCACGCGGACGAACTTGCGGCATTTCATCTTCTTGGCGTTTTCCAGGACGAGCTCTGCAAGTTTGGTGGGGTCAGATTCGTTCAGGTGTGGCTGGTCAACCCCAAGACCGGCAGGAGCGATCTGTTGACAGAGATTGAAATAACAAAAGAGCTACTTAAGGAATGTAAACAGCTAACAGCCCCACGTGATTGACGCATATTGCTAGCAAATGAATTAACAACCTAAGTAGGGGAGAGAAGGAAACCCTACCCCCTAGATCCTTCCCTGCTTGTTCGCTCCCTCTAGTCTCCATTGACAACTTTGCCTCTAGTCCGGGACTACGGTGGGTCAACTTTTGCAATTTATGGGCCTATGTCACACGGCGGCCATTTTGTCCCGAGAGACTAAAGTAGCTTTGTTTTACCTGTCTAGCATCGCTCCCAAGTTTTTCACTGCGAGGTCGAGGGTGGTAAGACAAAGCTTTTTTAGTCTCTTGGGTAGCCTGCGTAGCAAGCGCTTGAAGGTAGTGGGCACAAGAAAAAACGGGCGCGCGAGAAGGAGACACTCGCGTGACCGTCCCTCGCGCGTGCCTGTTCTCTCTTTCACCCACTACTTCAAAACGCCTGCTACGCAGGCTATTCTCTCGGGACAATATGGCTACCGTGTGAACATGGCCCATTGCGCCCTGGCTGTCTAAGGCTGTTATCTTTAAGGTGAATCTAAGGCTGTCTCCTCGCGCTCTGCGCACGCGCCGTTTCACTCGCCATTTGCCGTTTTTCCTAGCCTGAGCCAGGCTCTCAGATAGTAGGGACGTCGAAAAAATAAAACAAGCCAAGTGCCCCGCGCGTTTTGCGCATCACTTTTTAGGGCACGACTGCACGACTATCTTGGAGCCTCGTTTTTTCCCAAGAAAAGCGATCCTAAGCAAAGACTTTTTAGAGCGATACACACATTAAGGTATATTAACAGCGTGCTTGGCTCAGCCAATGATAGCCTGCGTAGATGGCGGTTTCTTTGATGCGTTTTTCCTGAGTTTGTGGTTCGTACAGCGGAAAGTAAGAGATACAGCCGCGCGAAAAGCTCCCGGTTACGTCGAGAAAATGGAGTGGATTTCAATTATAAGTACTTTCAGATTATTATTATTTTTTTTTGCGAACTAAGTAGAGGAATTAAAACTACCGTATGTTTTACCTGGTGTAGTAGCACGCTATAATTCTCAGCATCTTGTATATCAGATGAAAAGTTAGCCACCCGCCGAACATGGCCGGCCTCTTGAAGTTGGTAGTTAAACCAGCGAAGTAGGATTGATTCCGGGGGTAGACGTAAAAGTTGCTCGATAGTCTCGTCTTCTTCAAGCAAACGCACAAGTCCTGGACACCTCTGGATTGTTAGTTGCGCGAACAGGCCAATCTAAAAGTTTAAATATTGCGAAGTTATCTGCCAATGCAGAATGAAACGGTAAAGATTTAGTGAAACTCATAGATCGTCTCTTAAGACCGGCGTTTTTCAGCCCAACTTGCTCTGAAACACTTGGAAACAAAGTGGTGGATCCGTGTAAGACACCTAGCCGACCTTTTTAAAGACCTCGGGTGGAAACGTTTGCTATACGAAAGTGTGATGATGTGAGTCTTAGTATTTCACTCAGACTACAGCTAGTTGATTCACTTACCCTGATAACTTGCCATAGCAAACCAAGAACGAGATGAGGTTTGCCTTCAATCAGATCCTGCGCTCCGATGTTCACAATGTTACATCCAATAGCCATAGCTGAATTCAGGACCAGTGTTTGATTTTCATGGATATTATACACGTTTAGTTTCTTTTTGTTGATGGCTCGTTCATCAACCGTTCCAGGAACAGCCCAGTTTATCAATTTACATAGAAGAATACCATCTTCCATGGCTTTGAATAGAGCATCCTTTTCCTCTTCCTTGATTGGAAGGTATTTTCCTACAAGAGCAACAACCAAATAGTTAATATTGACTTCCGTCATCCAACTTTATTATGATAACATTAATATTTATGATGATGAAGAAAATCTTAATCTCAAGTCTCTAATTAAAGGATTTAATTAGAATTTTCAAAGTTCGATTAGATTGGCACTTTTTCATATTTATTATATAATATGAATCCTACAATTTTGTTTACAACTGCAAGATTATTTCCAGTCTCGAGGTGTTAAATTCGGCGAACATTTTCTGTGACAATTTCTGCAGTCAAGCATTGCGAGGATTAACTTCATATGAATTAGCTGCAGAAGAAAGATCAGATATATTTTGTTGTAGAGAAGTGGTCGAGACGACATATCCCAAGGGCACATTTCCGCTGAACAAATAGACAGGTTTTTTATTACCGCCATTCCATTAAGTTATTTCATATTTTGTTTTCTTTTAAAAACTTCGAGGTAAAAGAATTAAGGAAAGGAAAGAAAAAAAACTAAGTTTTATCTGTCAAGTAATTTTTGCTTTACCTTTCAGATCTGGATCATCCTCCAAAACAGAGTTAATCCAATCACTAAATCCAATCTGCTCGTCATCGGAAAACGAGTGTCTTGTCCCTTCAGCGGAAGCTGACGAATCCCCTTCCACTTTTTGAACGCCTTTCTTGCTATCGATAGCATGTTTGTAGCGACCCCCAACCGCTTTTGAAGACATCTTTGAAAACATGTCGGTGAATTCGTCAAAGGAGATCATCCCTTCCTTTTCGTTTTGCACTTCAGAAATGATTTTCCTCAACTGATACGGTGCAACATCTTCCCCACACTCTTTCATCACATTTCCGAAGTCTTCGCATTTTATCGACTTGCCTTTCGCGTACTTATCAAAGTTTTGCTTCATTTCTTGCATACGAGCACTCGAAAACATAGACTTGAGTTCGGAACCTTTGGTTTCCGCCATTTTTGAGTTGTGAAGTCCTTTTTTTCTCTGTAAGTATCAGTCGGTATAAATCATCATGCGACGTTTTTTTTTTAAAAAAGCTCAATTGTTACGTCATCCACGTCACAATCCTTTTGATTATGTCGTCATTTTGTCTGCGCAAGCCACCTTGTTCCCATACCAGAGTCAGTCTCAATCTCGTACGATTTTTTAGCATGTTTAGTAAATCGCTATTTAAATTGAATACAAAAATTTTTAGAAATCAGCAGTTTTAAAATAATTATATTCTGTAAATGAATTTCGTACATTTTATATCTTATTTCCTAATTTTTTTCACCTTGAAAGAGAGGGAAAACGTAAATACTATTAACAGGCATGTTACTTTAATTCATTGTATTCACATTGTTCTCTTGTAATTTTTTCAGTCGTTATAAAAAAATCATTTTCAGTCTTTTCGTGTAATTTTTCTTGATTTTAGGTAATGCAGGAGGATTGCAGGTGTCACAGTGATATGTGTATCCCCGTGATATGTGTATCCCCATACACATATCCCTAGTGATATGTGTATCCCGGGTGGGGATACAAAAAACACTGATGCTCATCCACGAAACAATAAGGAAATATCTTCTCTTGCTAAAGGAAATGTCGTCGATATCATCTAACATAACTAGTGACACAACTAGGGTTAAGACAGGAATCAAACAACATGCAAAGGTGGAATATTGTGGCGCTCGCAGAAAGGGATACACATATCACTGACCGGGCGCAGAGATATGTGTATCCCCTCTATATTTTTTGACTTTTCGAGTTATCCCTTGCTGAATGAAATTTTGTCAGTCATACTTATTTAACGCGAGTAGTGACATATGAATTATAATCACGGTGGATAAGGAGAGGAGCGAGAACGAATGTTTACATCAACATTGCGGCCCACGAAGAAGTAAACTCGCCAGAGACAGCTTTGCGATTATTTTGTCTCGAATCGTTGCTCTTTTGTCGATTGTGTTGCTCGTAATGTTGAATCATTTGTAGTCCCTTTGACGATGATTCGTAGAATTCACAAAAACAACAGAAATAAAAACCGACACTTGTTTGGAGGGGTGGGGGGTAGGGGATACACATTTCACTGGCAGCCATATTGGAGGGATACACATATCACTAGGGATATGTGTACGGGGATACACATATCACGGGGATACACATATCACTGTGACACAGGAGGTAATTTTTTTTTTTAACGCACCCCACTCCACCCCTGTCCTCACTTACAGCTGACGTGTCAGGTCCTCTCTGCGCATGTTCCTATTTCAACCACACTGCGCATGCCCAGTTGATGGTTTGGGAAAATTCAAGATGGCGGCAGACTCACTGGTATTGATCTCGATCAAAAGGATTTAGAAGAAATGTTTAAGAAACTAAAGCAAAAGATCGCAGAGGAGTCGGAAGGAGAGCAAAGCCCTCTCAGGCAGCAATCGCGTGAGGGACAGGTACAAAAAATTTGTCTAGTTATACGCGTGAATGCCTCTCTTGTAAAAGGACAAATCGTCTTGTCAAATCGTGTGTTGCAACTTTGTTCATGTAGGTAAACTTGTTTAACTTGTTAATATTTTAGTCTCCCAGAGGACCAAAGAGCAATGGAAGTACCACTGAATCTCCGTCGACCTCAGCAGTGAAAGCTGCTACAACTCCTCGAAGGAATGAAACAATTAGTTCGCCATCAGCAACTCCGACTTCACAAAATAAAGCAAAATCAACACCGCGAGAAGTTCTCGATCGAGTATATAATCTTCTTGATGTCAAGGTATGGTTAGCTTACCAACATGTAAAGATCTTACTCAAGCAGTATTCTTGAAACTCGAATTAGCAAGCATTTAAATCTTAGCAGCCTCTGATATATTTGATAACTTGGTTGTGCGTCGATTGCGATTTGCATGGATCAACGACAATTTAATTATCGAGACACCTGCAATTTTTCATGTTCTTTTCAAGCATTTGTAATTTTTAATGTGCTTCCTGATCCTTGAACCATAGCATTAATCATTGGTACTTCTTTTGATTCCAGTGACACTTCTCTTTATGGTACATGTATATTTATTTCAACTTTATCAGTATCAGCAAGTTTTGAAAAAGAAATTTGTAACTAGTGATAAAGTTAAACCCTAGAGGCATAGTATAAATGAAAATAAGAATAAGAGAGTTTGTTTACTTCTCATATGTAACTCATTCAAAGTAAATTTATGTTTTTTGAACGATAACATGTATCTTAGGGGAGAGGGGGTGTTTATGTTATATATATATTTCTTTATATATAATTCTTGACATTAAACTTTGTGTCTTTCTTTATGTCTTCCAATGAAATTGCATTTTCTCACATTGTAATTACTGTATCAACACAGTTTTCTTTAGCCACCATTCCTTCCTCCATGAAAAAAAAAAACATTTTCTGGTCTTGAACTGATGCCTAAATGGACCATATTTGGAAATCATGGTATAGTTGTGTAATTATGATGGTTAATCCAATCAAAACTGTATTTGCATCATCCAATGATTCAGTTTTTAGTGATCATAGATAGCTTATGAACAAAGGGAGTCAGAAGGAAGCAAAAATGTGACTTGAATGTACAGTACAGTAATTGAAACCCTGTTTACAATAAAAATCCAGCAAAAAACTGACAATGCAATAATATGAAGGCAATACCATAGGACATGGTAAATATGCTTAGCCATATGGCTAGCTTACAGATATCCCACATGTACGTGTAGAATTAAGGCAAAAGTTATAATACAAAATTTTAAATTTGAATTCCCAACTGTTAAGGTTACAAAGTAGCTATGATATTATAATAATTTAAAATACCTTAAACTACCTTCAATTTAATAACTCAAGTTATAAAAATCCAAAAAAGGTAAAACTTTAAACCACAAACCCTGCTAACAAGCTCCTTAGTTCCAGCTTAAGTAAACGTATCAGGAAGTACATTCCAGTGTTTTGCAACAGCCAATGAGAAAATGACTGCTCTGATATTGTTAGTTAGATATTGGCAGTGGTGTTTTATTCTTGATATATTGAGTGTCTTGTAACTTTGTACATATTGATGAATGATATCTTCTACAGCCTGGTCAGACTGACTCAAGGAATGGAGAAAAGCCACAGTCTGGTGAAAGCACCCCACCCAAGAGCACAAGCACTCCTAGCAAATCAGCATCACAGGACAGTATGAGCGACAACGAAACTCCCAAGAGAACAGCTGAACAGCATAGTTTTGATCCACCACCCAGTCCTAGTTCACTTGGAGGAGGAAAGTCAGATGCGGAGTCTGATGCAGAGCAGGGTAGTCATGGTAACCCTTTGACACCTTCGGGGATTGAAGGAGTTCCAAAGGAGGAGCTGGTGGCCATGTTTAAGAAGCAGGAACGAGTTTTGGCGCGTTATAAGACCAGATTTTCAGAGGTGAGTGTGACAATATAGAGCAAAATAGAATATGGTTTACTTCTCAAGTTGATGTCATTCATTAAGTTTTTGTTTTTCTGTACACATGTTTATATAAAAGAAATTTCTCCAGCCTTTTAGGGCCATCAATTTAAGGCATAAATAATATTAACAGAACCAAGGCAGGTAGAGCAGGGAACTGCTATTATTTTCTATTTCCATGTGAAAGGAAAGATCACACTTACATGTGTCTAAATCTTTTGATTAAATAAGCGTGAAAATAAAACTTTGTGTAACAGGTGTTTCTTTCGTAATTAAGCTGTAAAATATACATGCCTAAAATTTGCCCAAACTGGTAGTGTTTAGAAAAATGTATTGTTTTAGTTACAATGTACCAATGTTGAATACTGTTACTATTATTACATTTTAAATCAAGTTTTTGTGCATGTAGGTTTTTGTGGTGGAAGTCACACGTGTTCAAAATTGTTTAAATCATTGTCGCTATCATTAGTTGTCTGGGCATTTAATCAAGCTGATTGGAATGTTCAAGGGACAAAAATGTAAATTTGAATGATTTGTGGTAACTGATATGACAACTGAATGGCTTCATTTTTGCATATTTATTGTTTTGTTCAAAGTAGTTGTAGACGGAAAAGTATGTAGAGTGTGGAGACAATTGGCACTCATATTTTTGCAAAAGAAATGTTTTTTAACTCCTTTAAACAGCCTGTATTGTAGGGAAAAAGATTTTGAGTTTTTTTCTTTCCGTGAAGCTTCTTGTGATCATGGTTGACAAGTTTTTTAACAATACATGTTCTTTAAATTGAGGCAGTGCTCTTGTATCTTTATTGTTCAAGGAACATGTTTTAAATCATGTTACTTTTGGGAAGTTGGATATCTTCAAACTCTAAATTGTATAATATCAAGGTTTTATCATTTTTATGAGTCATTCTGCTACAGTGCAGTATCTGCAATTTAAACTTCGGGCAAATATGTTTTCACCATGTTATCTTGTATGGGAAGAGACCTTATGAAAGAGGACAAAGAAAGAATGACTCTAAGAAAGGTAAAATGCACACTGTACATGTGTATGTTGATTTGCTACTAAAACTAAAGCAGAGGAAAACGGGATTATTGTTATTCATTTTTGTGTTTTTGTTATCAGAATATACAGTGTAGCAAATAAAGATTCCCCTGTAACATCTCCCCAAAACTTTATAGTGTCACCTTAAGCTTTCCACTTTGATCACTGGTAAAATCAAGTGAGCTCAGCTGTAACAGGTTTTACGGCCTATGGCCCTTAATGACAGCTCTGGTTATCATATTGTAGGTAACCAATGTTTCTGTTCCCTGTGACAAATGTCAAGTATGAAGGTAAAGTTGTGCTGTAGGTGATCGTAAATTGAGTGTTTCATCTTTCAGGTTGTTGAAGCTTACAAGAATCTCCAAAAGGAAAATGAAAAGTTACAGGTGAGTTGCAGTGAAAATAGCTAACATGCTCTGTCTTTGCTGGTACTAATGTCTTAGCAACGGAAAGAACTTTTTTACATGTGTACATGTAGTTCCTTTAGCATTCTATACATTATTTACATATATCTATAGGACATAAGTACCTTTTCAGTCTTGAGTAATGATCTGATCCTTACAACGTGTTTTAAACAGATCAGTTATTGATTTAAATGTATGGTATTGTTTTCAGACAATGGAAATTTGCTATTTCCTGTTGTCTTTGATTTGTTACCAATATATACAAGAACTATTAATACAAGCAAATTCAAACCAATATCACTTGATAAACTACACAGTGTACAATGTAATGGTACAGTATACAACAGTTACATGTGGTTGTAAAATTAAGTGGAAATTATCTTTCTGTAGCCTTGTTTTTGTCTTCTGAGGGAAGGAGGGGTTACTTTGTTAGTAACAAAAAGTATACAAACAAGGTCCATTCAATTGTAGATCTACTGGTATATAGGAAATCAATTACAATGTGGTAATCACATTGAATGATAGCATCATTCCAACATGGTATGGCCATGAAGCCTTCTTGGCCTTTGCTTTAGTTAACCCATTATAAGTATAACATTTAAATTTAATTGCAGACCTTACCATTGGTAATTGAACATCCTTTCTATCAGTATAGTTTTTTTTTTGTGTAATACTAAAACATTTTGTAAAATTCATTAGTTATTTATGTAAGTCTTGGTCAGCGGTCAGCAAGCAAGATGGACTGCTTTTAAGCTGTCTGTGCAAATTACATGAATTTTTCGCCTTTTAATTTTTTCTGTCATATTAATTTGTGTCTTCTTGATTGTTCTTGTATTATTTTGATTTAATGGCTGTGTATGTTCCATGTGAGGAGCTTCAATGATAAGTTACTTCTATCAAAAATTGAACCAATTAAGAAATTGTTGAACTTCAGTGGGGCTGAGTTTAGCAAATTGCTGAAATGAGTAGACAAACTTGAGAAGACTATAAAATCTCTTGAGCTGGAAAACCAAGCTCTCAAATCTCAGCTCAATTCAGTCAATACCGAAGTAAAAGAAAACACGTTCTGTTTTCATTCTTGTTTCAAAAAGCTCTTAAAAGAATCTGTTATCTCTAAATATGAATTGGATCTTTAAATCTGATTATGGACACAGCCCTTAATTATTTTTTGTTTGTTTGTTTGTTTTTTTAACTTTATGTATGTGTGCTTGTGTATTTCTTTATTTAATGCTTATGAAAATATTTTTCTCCACATGGTCAGCCACTTACCAGGGCTAGCATCTGCTGTTTCTAAGTGCCTGTGCTCTCCATCTTGCTAATTGTCAACATCTAATTTGCTTCTTTTTTTTTCCTGGGGCACTAATAAAGATTGATTGTTGTTGTTTGTTGTTGTTGTTGTTGTTGTTAAGCTATGACAAATCAATAGGTTGTATTGAGTCATATGTACTGTCACTTCAGTAAGCTCCACACGAAAACAATAAATCAACTGGATTGATGAATTAGTGAACAGTATAGTCATGTAGAATTACACACTGTAACTTTGATACAAATTAATACCTGCTCAGCTAGTTAGTATTCATTAATAACTTGTGATACAGATCTGTAGTCATTGTTTCATTCCACAGTTGTGATAAAATATTTCACATCTGATCTGTATAGGCTTTACAATGGTTCGCCTTTTGCCCGCTATTGTAATTACACATACAGATCTCCCGTTTGTCTTTTATCCATGTCTTCAACAACTTAGTGTCTTGTACCTTTTGCAGAATAATCTCACTCAAAGTCAAGATAAAGCACTGAGAAGAATATCAGAAATGAAGGAGGTAAACTGTTTTAACTTAATGTTGAATTACCAACTTCAACTTGTCATTAGCTCAAAGTCTTTCTCAGCTTTCTTAGTATTGTAACCATTGTTAATGTTGCACTTACATGTAATATACTGGCCCCTAAGAAGAACAATGCATGAGTGACATATACTAGTTTGTGTTGTTAATAGTTCTTGGACAAATATGTAAATGTGTTATTTCAGTACAGTACACGGTACCTTGTTTTTGTTGGTTTGTGTTTCAAGTTCAGGTGTATATTTATTAATATTTATTAGTTTGTGTTATTTCTCAAAACAAATAAGTGAGGCTTATAAGCTGACAAATATGTCTGCTTGTTTCATAGACAATTGAATTGGAGAAACAGGCCAAGATGCACTTGGAGGAAACACTTCAGTTGTCAATTGATGAAAAAGAGGAAATCATAAAAGCACTTCAGACACAGGTGGATAAACATTTAACACAATGGCAACTCAACTTCCAAATACACCATTCCAACACTGTCACCTTTTTAGCTTACAAATCAGAAAGTAACAAGTCAATAGGCCATTTCTAAGTAGCCTCAAGCCTCTGTTTCAAGCTGAGGCTAAGTGCGAAGCTATTGATGATTAAATGATTTTTTATTCTCATGCAAATAAAACCCATTTTCAGTCAATGAAGGTTTGGCACAGCCTCGTTTTGAAAGTCAGAGTTCTGAGAACACGGAAATGACCTATTAACAACCTTACAACTGTACCATTGAACTAAAACTTGATACTTGTCTTTGGGCTAGTTAGCTACATGTGAACAACATCTTGACCTGTGGACAAGCTGATTGTCTTGTAACATCTCACTCTGAAAATAAGTGCCAATTTTTAATCTCTATCCTGAGCCTTAAATAATCCTCAAGTTGAAGAATTTGTTTTGAGCTTTCAGATGTTCCTCAAGCAGTACAAGTGAAAAGGTTGAACATCATCTGGGACATTAGTATTTTGAAAAAATACATGTACAATCTGTTACACTTTTCATTTCCAATCAGTAAATGTATATTAGGAGATACAATGTACCCTTTATGTACATGAAAAAACCAGCCCTTACTATACAGCTGTAGCTCCTTTTCATTATGTCAAATGATAGGTACAGTTTCTAAAGCAACAAGGATCTCGCACAATGCCTGCCACTGATGCCATAGATGCAGCTGCACTTGGTAAGCACTCGTACATGCATTGTACAATCTTGACAGAAATACTGAATGTCTGTTGTTTGTTTTATTCTGTTTTCTTATCGCAGCTTCAATATTTCAAGTTACTGTATGCATATGTTACAGGTCAAAATTAAAGTCAGGTTAAAATTATTTAACCTAGGTTGTTTCTCCATTTCCTTTGTCTCCTATAAGCCCTAACTCATGAATAATTAGGGCTAGGGGACAAAGAAAGTAGAGAATTAACCTAGGTTAAAAAAATTTTATCCTGAATTTTATTTTGACCTGTAAAGGGAGTCACTAAGATTTCAAGTTGCCGGTTATATTCAACAAGTAGGTAGGAAACAAAACAGCTAGGGATTTCTTTTGGTTCCATTTTTCTTCTATTTTACTAAGAAAGTAGCTGGAGGCCACATTCATAGTAGCCAGGGGAAATCCCCGGCCCCCGTCTCTTAATGACAGCTCTGCTGTAACACATACATTCTTCATGTACAGGTCAAGTTAAATTTAGTTGACAATCAGATCTATTTTAGCTTTCTTTTCTCAACTTCATAAGTTGCATCTTTAACTGTGATGATCTTCTTTGTAATTTTAATGTTGATATGTATTTTCAATAATTCTATTACCATTTTACAGGATCACAAAGTGATGAGGAAAAGCTTAAACAGCAAAGTCTACTGGAGAGGGTGAGAACAACATTTTTCTACATTTTTTTACATTAAGTTGAAAGTGCTAGCCTTACAAAGAAGAAAAGCCTTCCTTTATATGAAAGTATAGACGTGAATTGTATAGCAGTACAATAAAGTTTAATCCTCCAGTCAGTAATCATGTTACCATGGAGTTGCATAATTGGCGACCAGACAGTTGAACAATGCAGCTTTAGAGTAAGTCAGTTAAGAACTACTGCTGTAACATGTCAATGGTTACATGTTTCTGTCATTTGTAATTTTCAAGCTTTTTTGAATTCTATGATACTGTAATAATATCAAAATATTGTTCTTCTTTGTAGCTGGAAAACCTTCAAGCTCTTGTAGACCAACAAGAGCAGGAACTAAATGAGCAGAAGGTAAAAATCACTTGTGGTGCATTATTTCATGGTCAATCTTGTACTCACACTATAGTATGTAACAATAATTGTTATTCCTCCAGCCCGAATGGGCTCTGAGTCAATAACCCATGAGGCCAAAGGCCGAATGGGCTATTGACTCAGACTGTACTGTACTGTTGACTGTACGTTGGTTTTCTTACAACAAAAACAGTGTTTTCCAACATGCAATTAGTTCCATTTCTCTTGGTTACTTTTGCAGGAGCAAACTTTGAAGAAAGAGCAGGTGACCGGTAATCAAATGAGGGAAGCCAAAGCCCTGATACTAAGATTGGAGCAAGAGAAGAAAACAGCAATCCAAGACATGATGGACAATCTGCAGATAGCACTAAGAGAAAAAGATGAAGCAGTGAAAAACAGCAATGAAATGAGACAAGCTCTTGAAGAACGTAATGTTCAGAATGAAGAAATGAAAAAGGAGAAGGAGGAGTTCTTTCACAAGATGGAGAAGCAGCTGGAGGAATCAGAGAAACGAAGAGAAATCATTGAGCTGAAGAAGGAGCGAGAGGTACTCACTTTTACATGCATGTACTTTATTTTGAGGAATTTTGTTAATTATTTAGTTTTCAGAATTATGTTTTCAAGTTTTTGTACCAAACCTCAAACCTAGTGATTAGTGTACAAATACAAACAGATTTCAAGTATGGTTTCAGAAAACTTTCAGTATATTGACAATTACACTGTACATGTAATGTAACTACAGATTGGAGAGCCAGTCTTAAAAGCCTCAGGTGTTAAACACGTATTTTGGGCCACTGATAAGGTCAGAAACTAATGATTAAATGAACGTAACAAGTAAGAATTCGTACTGGCTGAAGGCAGCAAACCAGTTGGTTATTTTCAAGTATGGCCAAGTTGTTGAACTCGGGACTTCTTGAACCGAGGACAACTCATACCAGCGGTTACGGTACGGGCTTGAACTTGCAGGGGCCTCCGGGTTACCCGAAGTCTGGTACTCTAAACACTTGGCTTACTGCCTCTTTGCATTCTAGTATTGTATTGTAGTATTGTACTGAAACAGAAATCTCTTGATTAGATTCAGGAGTTGACTGCTAAGTTTGAAGCAACAGCAAATGCAGAGGAAAAGGAAAGAAAAGCAATGATGGAGAAGCTAAAGAAAGACAAGGCAGAAGTGGTGGCTCTCATGCAAAAAGACAAGAGTGAAAAACTTGAGGAGATGCTTGTAACAAAGGAAATGGAGTTACAAGGAGCATTGACTAAGAAAGCAAAGGAAATGGAATCACTTTTACAGGCCAAGGAGGAAGAAATGAGAGCTAAATACAATGAGAAGGTACATGAACACTCACTCTTAATCTATTGTAGGAGTTGACCAGTTTAGTAATGGTTGTTTCATTGTATGTTTGTTTGTTTTCATTTTAATATGCTTCATTTTAATAAGAAATTTTCAACAGTTTTCAAATTCTGTTGCTTCTTTTCCTTTTATGCCTCAGGTGAAAGAGATCGAGATTGCTGTTGACGAAAAGGAGCTCCAGAAAGAAGCAGCCCTGAAAGAGAAGGAGAAAGAGCTTCAGGCCCTTAGAATACAGCTGGAGTCATTATCAGAGAGTCTGCAAAGCCGTAATTCAGAAGCGTCGCGCTCAGAGCAAGAACAAGCCAGTAAAGTATCCAATCTGCTGGCCGAGTTACAGAAGGTTACAGTGGATAAGAAAGGCAAGTGAAACGTTGAATTAAAGGAGAGTGAAACAGTTTTCATGAAAAGATAGGTTAGACATCACGTTTACGTAAACGGTGCAGATGACCACGCGGAACTTTCTCATGCCATTTTTTTACATTTTCCGTGGTCAACGTGAAGAGGAGTGTCCTAACGTTCATAAAATCCGAGCGTTTGAACTACATGTACATTCGTAATGGTTGCTTTGATTGATTAATGCGCAAAAATGTGTACTCCAATAAATTGGTTGGTTCACTAAAAATCAATTTTTCAGACTGTCTTTGAATCTGTCATATCAAAACGTTGTATGCAGCAGAAGTGAGCGGAAATGTTCCTGACAACATTTTAGCAAAAATTTGGTTTTTCCACTTGAGTTGATAAAGCTAATTTACCACGCCTAAAGAGACTTTCTCTCTTCAATTGATGAAACCAAATTTGTGTTTTTCTGTAGAAAGTAAACCCCGGTCCCTTGTTCATGCATAGGTACAGTTACATATTATAGTTCGATAAATTTGCTTAAAATTTTTGACAGATTTGGAACAGAAGCTGTCGGAAACTCGTCAGAAACTCGACCAAGAGCAGGTTTGTTACCTTGACCTCTCTCTTATTTCTTTGATGATAACTATTCTTTGACTCTCCCAACACCTTGTTCTTGTATCGAGCTAGGGAGATCAAATAGGTCCATTTTATTCAGTATCCAGCACTGCGGTGTATCTGTTTTTGTGGACTAGGAGTAGTCTTCAATTGGTCTTGGTTCTTTAGTCTTAAGGCTTTGGTTTGCCAGTCAGTCTCGTTTTTGTTAGTTGCTGTCACGAGCTTCTTCCCTCCCTCCCTTGCTCCTCCCCCTCCCCCTTCCTTGCTCTATGCATACCGTAAATCCTCTATTAACCTCCCCCCCGAGGGCCTATTTATTTGAAACACATTTGAGGGGGGAGCTTAATAGAGACGGTGGGCCTTATTAGAGAGGGAGACGTATTTAATTTAGCGAAGATGGTTGTATCGCTTCTCCATCAAGACCTAGAATGCAGACTGCAAAAGCTCATGTACAAGAAGTTGAAGGTCATGCAACCGAGGATCAAAAAAAAAATCCGAATTCCCAACACTTGAATAAACCATCCTTGATAAGTACACACGAAGTTTTACAGTCGTGATTGATTGATACAGTCTATAATTTATTAGTGAAGAATAATAAGGGGAGGGGAGGGGAGGGGAGTGGGACTTAAAAGAGATGGGGGCTTATTAACTTTCTTCCCCTGAAAAGGGGGGTGGTGGGGGGCTTATTTTAGAGAGGCAGCTTGATAGAGGATTTACGGTACCACAATTCGCCTTAGTTGAATATACCATGCACTTTATACTTTCAACCGTGACGATTGTTTTGTTTCATGTTTGTTCGGAGGTGAGTTCCGTTTTGGCTGTACAACACATGCATTCAATCGAGAGCTAAGAAAATCATCGTGTCGATCAATTCTTTCGAGTTTTAAGTAATAATGTCTCTCTTGTAGGCTAAGATCTCCGAGATGGTTCAGCAACACAGCAATCTTGTGCAAGAAAAACAGGACGAACAACTAAAGATGGTGAACAAGTTCAAGAAAATGCACCAAACTAAAATCAGTGAATTAACCGAGGTCATCAAAAAGAGCGAGCAGAAAGTGGCCGAGATTGAAAAACAACGGAAAGAGGAGGAGGAACTTCATTTAAAAAAATTGGAAGAAAAGGAACGGGAGTTTGAATCGGAAAAACAGTCTGAGCTAGCTCGCGTCTCTAAACGGATGGAAAGCAAAACCAACGAAATGAAAAAGATCGTTAAAGAACTTAGGACTAAACTGACTGAAAAAGAAAATCAGGCTAAAGAACTCGAGGAAAAATTGATTCTCATTCGACAAGAAACTGCTACGGAAAAAAGCGCGACTATGAGTGACTTTGAGAAGAAAATTGAGACTCTTCAGAAGCAGTTTGCGGAGAAGGAGCGTGTTGTCCATGAACTTGAGAACAAAGCTAAGGACATTGAACAGAAAAAGTTAAACGAAATCGAGGAAATTTCCAAGGATAGAGATAATCGACTCAAGGAAAAGGAACGGCAGTTGGTAGACGTGAAAGGAAAGCTTACGGAGAAGGAATATTACTCCAAAGAACTGGAGAAACAACTTCTGGAAATGAAAAAGGAAAAGGACAATGAAATTGAGGCAGCTAAACAAGAAGCTGCGGTAAAGATAAAAGAAATTGAGGCTGGGTTTAGCAGCAAACGGGAAGAAGAACTGAAAGTTCTGCAGTCAGAGAAAGAAAAAGAACTTATGGCAGTCAAAGACGTTGAAACTAAAAAGAACGAAATCGAAAGAATCAACGATGAACTCAAAAAAAGGCTTAAGGAATCTATGGACAATGAAACCAAACTAAGAAAGGAATTGAACTCTGCAAACGAGAAGTTTGTAAAACAACTTGAAAACTGCAAACAGAAATATGGAGATGAACTTCAAAAATACAAAGAGCAGTTACTTCTCGTCGAAGAAAGGAATCATCAACAGCTTTCTGACTGTCAGACTAACTACGAGAAACAGCTTTCAAATTTAAAAGAAAAGTACGAGGAAGCTCTTGATAAAATCAAGAAGGAAAAATTACTCGTCGAGGAACAGTGTAAGCTAGAGTTGCAAAAAATGCGCGCAGAACTCGATGACAAAACGACAGCCGGCAAGGACGAGCTAGGCGTTAAAGAGGCAGAGCTTGTTCATTTAGGCAAAAAAGTTGAAAGTTTAAGTTCCGAACTTAAAGAACAAAAAGAACAATCACAGCGGAGCGTTGATGAACTGAGCAAAAGTATAACGCTTAGAGATGACAAGATTGGTAAACTGAAGGAAAGGTTGAAGGTTGAACAAGATGCGCTTACAACACAGCAAAAACAACAAACTAAAGCAATGGAGGTTAAAGAACAGGAAATCAAGGAGATGTTGAGTAAAATGGAGAATGAATTTCAGCAGCAGCTCCAGGAGAAAGATGATGCCGTAAGAGAAAAACTAAACGAAATTGCACTCCACCATGACATGGGAGTCAAAGATGTTACAGCTAGCTTGGAAAATATGAGGAAGGAGGAGCTAACAAGAGCTGAAGAGCGACATCACGCTGAAATATCGGAACTTAACCTTGGTTGGGAAAGAAAGGTTGTCAGTATACGAAAAGAACATGAAGAAAACATGGAAAAGATGTTAAACGAAGCTAGAGAGAAAGAAGAGAACCTGGTGAATGAGAATGTGAACTTAAGAAATGAGATCAGCAAAAAAGAAAAAGTTCAACAAGTCCAGGTGGAAGAACTGCATTCTAAAGTAAACGGCGTTTTGGAGGAGAAGGAAACGGCGAATGCAAAGGTAAGAGAATTGGCGGATGAAAACAAACGCTTTAGACAACAAATTGAGAATATTAACTTGGAAATGGAGAGTAGACTACATTATCTGACAGAGAATCATCAACATGAAATCGAAGACATTAAGAACCAGTCATTTCACGAGGTTGAAGAACTTGCCTTACAGCAGAAAAGTGATTTAGCGAGTCGCGACAACGAAGTTGAAAATGTCAAGAAAGAGGCAACGCAGAAGTTAGATGAAGCAATGCAGAGGCATAAAGATGAGATGGAGGAGATACGAAACAGTTATCAAGCAAAGCTAGCTGAAGTCACAAACACGTACCAACAGGATTTAGCGCAAACAAAGCAGATTTATGAGAAGCAAAACATAGAAATGGAAAAGCTGAAAAAATACCACGAGATTGAACTGAACGAGCTTCGAAAGAGCCATGGAAAGCAAGTTGGCGAACTGTTGAAATCTGGTGAAGAAGATAAAAATAAGGTCTCTAGTCTGGAGCAACTGCACCGCGAAGTAGTTGACGGCTTAAAAGTAAAGATTACCGATCTTGAAGCTAACATCGCTAAGCAGACTGAAGATTTCAACAGGTCCGAAGAAGAAATGAGAGTGAAGTTTAATGAAGAAAAGGAGGGTTTGAGAGAGCAGTTTGAACAGCTAAAGGTAAAAATTTCGGAAGCAGAAACGCAGCATCGGAGTAAAATGGAAGAATTACAGAAGGCGGCTGAAGAGAACGAGAGGAAATTTGATGTCGAAGAGAAGAAACTTAGAGAGCAAGTCGATGAACTTAGTAGAGCTGCAGAGGAAAGAAGATTAGCATTTGAAGACCAAGAAGAAAAGTTGAAAGGCGAAATTCAGAAACTTGAGGAGAAATTAGGCGAAACAGAGGCTGTGAATTCGATCAAAATGGATGAAATGACATTGTCGGCTGAGCAAATTAAGACAGCTTTCGATCACGAAGAAAAGAGACTAACAGAAGAAATTGAAAACCTGCGTAGGTCCTGCAGAGAACAGAGGGAAGAACTTGAGAGGTTATCCAGGGAGTGTGAAGGAAAAGTTACATCCGAAGAGAAACTCAAGACAGATATTGAAAAACTTAGAGAAGATCATAAGACTGAGCTTGAATCTTTGATGCAACAAGCCAAATCAGCCATGGTAGAAACTCTTAAGAGGGAGACTGAAAAACTGAAAGAACAACATAACAAGGAAGTTCAGTCGTGGATGCAAAAGACGAAAGAGATCCAAACAAAACACCGTGATGTGGAGAAGAAGTTAAATGAGGAATTGAACAACTTGAAGAAAGAACATGATAAAAAAGCTCACGAGCTAGTAAAAGACAAGGAAAAGTTTGTTAACGAACTACACAAAGCTAAGGAGGCCCTTGCAAAGCAACATGATTCTGAGAAGAAGTTGAGCGAAGAATTAAAGAACTTGAAGAGAGAGCATACAAAAATGGCTCAAAATATCCAGGAAGAGAAGGCAAAAGTTGTTGAAGGAGAGAAAAGAATGAAAGCTGAGCTACAAAAAGTTGAAACGGAGGTAAAGCAAGTGTCCGAGGCCACCTCCACAAATCTTCAGAAGAAACTTGATCAAGCGAAAAAAGAAAGAGAACAAGAAGTACAGTTGTTAAATACGAAATGGAAGGGAAAATGCGACGAGATCAACCAAAGGTACTCGAACCAGATACAAAACCTACTGCAGCAACATGATGAAGAGAAAAGAAATTTGATCGGAGAGCATTCCAAGGCTTTGGAAGAACTAAAAAGGAAAAACAGCGAGGAGCGGGCGGAACTGGAAGAGAAAGCGAAGAACCAGATGGTCGAGGCTCAGAACACAATATCAGAGCTTCAAACCAAGGTAAATTGGTGAAAAAAAAAAACACGGCAAAGGAACGCACCCTCGTGATTTACTCGCTTACCCTTAAAAAGCAACTCCCCATCGTTAAGCGTTCAGATGGTGGTTTGCATGCTAATAAATCTTTCAGCCGATTTTCTTTCCAGTGATGATACTAACTTTAACCCTTGAATTAGAGTCTTGCATTCTATGGTCGTCTGCACGTACCTTTCTTCCACATGTCATACAGTACCTCCACTAAGATTTTTCTTTAGGAAATAACCCTGTCTCCACCAGTATAAGTCATGTCCATCGGTGAATTCCCAATTTCTGGCTATTGGGTAGAAATGTCGCATGGCTTAAAGTCGTTGTTGGGTGTCCGCAGATATCATATACCCATGTTTTATTGGACTGCAGTTGAGATATCGTGGAAGTCTGCGCCAAAGTTGCAACTTGAAAGTCATAATTCATTTAGGTGAAAGTAGTTTCTGTAAAGGCCGGTGAAGGCTGACTCGTCCCCATTCGTCGTCTCTCATTATTAGTATTTGGCGTGGAAGACTAGAAAGGCTCTTTAACGAAGGGGATGACGGGAAGGAAGAAGGGAGAGAAGGTCTCCCCTCCTCTCGCCTTCCCTAGAGACAACTTAGAGACGACAGGGGACGAGTCAGCTGTGAAGGTGAAACTCGAAGTCTAGGACGGCAAAACAAAACAGTCCACAAGACAATCTTGATGTTTGTCCAGTACGTTTAGGAAGTTAATCCTAATTTTTTAAATAAATGAACTCCTCCTTTAGCTTATGGTCATTTCCCTTTGAAGATTTGCCACTCTGACGGTTGTTTACTTTACCGGCAGTTTCATATCTGCGATCGTTTACTTCAAATCTGCTCGCATGAGTTGTCTTCAATGTTTTTCTCGTTATTGCTCTAAGAGAGATCTCTGTCATTAATAACAGTGTTCTTTTTTTTTTTTTTAATCTGTTAGGTTAAAAAGGCGAAGGAAAAGATAAAAAACATGATGAGCAAACATGAACAAGAAATCAAAGAGTTAAAAGAGAGTAAGGACAGCATCGAGAAGGAGTTGATAACAGTGCACGAGTGCGTGTCATCCTTAAGGAAGGAAGTAGCAGATACCACGGAAAGTTCTGAAAACAAACTCCGGGAGGCCTCCAAACGCGAAGAGGAATTGCAACTTAAGATTGTTTCTGGAGAAAGCAACAACAAAGTTGTTGATCAAAAACTGGCGGAGTTAAGCAAAGAAAAGCAGGAAGCAATAGATGCTGCAGCTTCTAAGGAAACAGAGCTGCGGCATCAGCTGCAAATGGTTCAGGCAGACTTACAAAGCAAAGTGGAGGATTTAGAATCAAAGCTTAAAGCCAAAGTAAAGGAGCATTTAGAACAGGTCAAGGAGATCCAAGACGAAAAAGAGAAACAATTAGAAAAGCAATCGGAGGAACTTACGGCGCAGTATCGAAGTAAGTTGACTGAGATGAAGAAAAAAGCGGAGAGCAAGATTGCTGGTTTGAGAAAACAGATCAACACACAAGCTGTGGAGAAAGAAACTGAGTTGTCTAACGTCCAGGAGTCTTTAAATTCAGCGGAAAACAGAATTAAAGAACTTGAAACGAAACATCAAGAGGACGTAGATAATTTAAAACTTGTTCACCAGGAAAAGCTAGCAACGAAACTTGCAGAGGTAAGGCAAACCTGCGAGGGTCAAGCTGGAACCCAAGAAAAGGAGTTGCGGAACCAAATTATCAACCTTGAATCACAGAACAAAGAGCTGTCTGAAAACGTTGAGAACCTAGTTGTGGAAAAAATGGATGCGTTACACGAACAAGAAGCAGCTCTAAAAGATGAACATGAAGCGGAGATGGAAAATCTACGAAAAGAACATACAGGCGAGCTTGAGAAATGTGAAAAGAGATTCAAAGCCAAAATGGCAGACAAAGATCTGGAATATAATTCAAAAATCAAACAGCTTCTGCGAGAGTTTCAGATAAAATACAGCGAAAAGGAAAGAGAGCAACAGGAAACTGTCGGTGAATTGATTGAAAAGGGGCAGAGAGAAGAACAGAAAATTATCGACGAGTATAAAACTGAAATCATTGAGTATCAAAGAGAACTAAAACTACGAGAAGATGAAATGGTAGCTTTGAAAAACTCCACAGCAGAACGGTTAGAACAAAAAGGCAGTGAAATTGAAGAGCTTCAAAGGGAACACACGGAAGCATTACAGAATATTGAGAGAGAGCATCATGAAACGATACAAGAGATGGTTAGAAAAAATGAAGAAGATATGGAAAAATTACACGAAGAACACAGAGCAAAAGTCGAAGAAATTCACGAGAGATACAAGAACGAGCTGGAATCACAGGCTCGAGACCGCAAGTCCGAAGTTGCGGCTGTGGAAAAAAAGTTGAAGACTCAAATGAAGAAAAACCAGAACGAAATGAAGAAGTTGTTGAATCAAAAAGAGTCTTTTATACAGGCGCAGAGCGTGGTGTTGACTGAGGCAGAACCTGGACAGCTTCAAAGAACAGGGTCGTCCAACTCACTTAATAGTGTAAGTCCAGGACGCTGGAATTCTCACAGCACAGGAACCCCACTTATGCTCATACAGCATCGCAGACTGACTGCATGAAGACCCACACGACCTGACAGTAAACAGAACTTTAATCTGACGTGACTGGTCACTGATATCTATTTAGTGTTGATCACGTTAGCGTGTTTTATATTTACTCATTTATTTATTTATAACTTTGTTTGGCTGCTTGCTTGTTTGTTTATCTTTGCTGTTACCACTTAAGAAATTGGTTAATTCTTATCATTGATTATACGCGACAAGGAATGCATCACAAAGTTTCTTTTGGCGGGTTTGTGTTTATTTTAAGTTTTTTCTTTTGGGGCTTTGAACTGTTGACCACGTTAACACTGAACAAAACACAGTAATCCTGCCTTTCTCCTCTCCTAAGCAATAGCCACTTCTTTGATACCAACATAAAAGATGTTGTTCTTGAAAAAATTATGATGGCCCAGTACGTCTTGATGTTTCTTTATCTTGCAGTGTTTGCGTAATTGTATAACTGTCCAAACTCACCACGAAAATTTGAATTTAACGTTACAGCTGCCTTAGTCCAGATTTTATGTTAGGATTTTGAAATTTTGATGGTCCAACGCTTGAAATATGTCAGCTCTCTTTAACATCTTCACATTCCAACTTCTTTAAATGAACTCATCAGCGGTTATGTTCAGTTTACTTGATGTTCTTTTTTTGAACAGGAGCCATCAGAAGATTCAAGTCAAACACTGCTTAAGGTAAGGTGCATTTTTGCAGCCTAATAAAGGAAAGTAACGTTTTTGACGCTATAAGCAATAACTCACTAAATTCTTCATATCAAAAATTCGAAATGAGTATTCGTGCTTGCTTTATTAGCTGCTTAAGCTACACGGCAAAGGAAAGAAGTCGAAACAAGGATTTGAGATCAGACCCGTGGGCATCGAACTCGGGACCTCTTGCACAGGAGGTCACGCACTAACCATCTGTGACAATTCTTGCTCCGGTTGTGCGTCATTTTTATCAAACAGATTCCATTGTATTGAAAACAGATCATAGGATTTCTCAAAGCTGTTGCTTTTTATTTGCTCAGGATCAAATCACGAAGTTGCGGGCGGAAGTCAGTCAACTAAAGGAACGCGAGGAATCACTTAAATCACAGGTAGGTCCAGTGCTAACGAGTTTATGTTATGAGAAGAGGTTATTGTTATGATCCTGTGGTGCCTTTCTTAATAACTAAGTTGTTGAGTGGTCTGTAGTCATGTCAAAGATAAGGTGAAATATGATCTGCCGGGTGGGGGTGGTTCTAAAAAGCACTGTTGTTGACAGTGACTGACGTTTCGACAACCAGTGAGGACTGAGGAAGTGACCGGGTTAGTACAGAGTTTTGAGGTCGTGAAAAAGTCTTGAAATTTGCCCAGTAATTTTCCAGGCCTGAAAAAAGTCTTTAATAATGATAAAAAGTCTTGATTCTTTTTAAAAAGCTACAACAAGTGGTCAAATCGTTGAACTAAGTCAACTGTACTCATCCGGACGGTCATATTTCACCTACTTATAAAACATCTGTCCCCTGTTAAGAGTTACTGTTCTGTCACTTATTGTTCTGAACAAGGTGGGTCTAATCTTTGGACTCCTGAATTGTGATCATGGAAATTGGTTTTCTTAGCCATGAGGCCAAACTCTCTTATGTTTCTCCTTACTTTCCCTTGCATGATGTTTTTAGGTTGCACAAGGGTTTATAACGTTCATAGTCAGTAGTAAATCTTGTACGAGTATGATTGCGTGACTAGACTAAGCTGCCGCGCTGTACGTACCTGTGGCGTCTGTCCAGTGCGTTAAAAAGGCTCGTTAGTGTTTTGCTAATATATAGTAATACTAATTATGTAGTTTTGCTAATATAGTGTCGCTTATGCTTTTTTCTTTTCTTTTGTGTTTTTTTTAGATTGATCAACTCGGTGGATCGCCTCTGAAAGGCAAAGCAGATCGACCACCTCAGCTAAATTTAGTATCCAACCCATTGTCTGAAAATTCTACTGTGTACGACCCAGCCCCCAAGTCTCCAGTTGAGCCGACAGAATTTGAGGTGTGACTTGCTTATTCATTCTTTATCTTATTCTCTGCATCTTCTACCCGTCTTCTTTTTTCTGACTTACTGTCTCCTTGACTTTGCAGTATCTTCGAAATATTTTGTACGAATACATGATGGGACGAGAGCGAAAGGTGAGAAGATATCATTTGAACGACGTACGCATGTTATAGCGTAGAAATTCTCAAGGTTTACGTACGCCCCTCTTATCTTGTTTTCTTACCTTTTAGCAAATGGCCAAAGTGTTGGTAGCCCTTTTACGATTTAGTGCCAAACAACAAAAAGAAATTCTACAAAAAGTGGATGAACAAGTTAGTCAGGTAAGTGGACCATATACCACACTGCACCTTTCACCACTTCACTGACAGAATTTTTACAGGTGATTGTGACACCGTGCCTAAAACCTAATTTTGCGATTTCCCTAACTTTACAAAAGAAAGTCAGAATTGCTGTTATTCCAATCAAAGTCACTGAACAATAAGGCGGTATTGTTTATTATTATGCTCTCTAGAAGGTTAGGCACCTGCTTATGAGATCAGAAAATGTATAGGCTCTTTTGAAATACGTGTTTATTGTAATTGTTCCTACTATTACTTTTACGTGTTCTTTTGACTGCAATTAAACCCAATCTTAAAACTCGCGAATTTAAATATATTTGAATTGGTGAATAAAAGTCTTCATTCAACGCGACTGACTTTGACAACTTAAAATTACTTACAAAAAACGTAAATGTATACTTCTACCTTTTTTTCTCTTTTTACACTTCCTTCCGGTTTTGTTGATGTTTGTTTGTTTGTTGTTGTTGTTGTTGTTGTTCGTTTGTTTTAGATATTCTTCAAGTCGATAGAAACTAAACGGAATCAAGCACACTCTAAATATGTTATAAAACGACCTTAAAACATTTCGTCATATATTTTAGAAAGCCAACTTTTTGAGGTCAGGTCTTTGGGTTTTTAACAAATGTAGCAGGCAATAAATTATAAAGGCGTGATAACTGTAAATTGTCCTGATTGGTGCCACCAATAAAAGATAACAGGATCAAGAGATTTCCACGCATTATGAAAGAATTGTCGTTGTCAAGATATGTTTTGATGATGTGATCTGGGGATGATAACAGTTATGTTTGTGATTATTTAATTTTCGTGCTTTTTGATTGGCTGAATCATCTCACGCCTCTTGAAGCATTCCTAAGTAAAATCGTAACGCATGTGACTTGCTCGTGCGCATTTTCGTCTATCTGAAGCAGGCTATCTGTATTCGCCATTTGCACATCTCCCATAATACTCCTCTTTTGCCCCCCAAAATTTTGCATAACCTTTGTTTTTCATTTCTCCTGGGTGTTACAGCCGTCCCAAGAGAAATTGAAAACAATGCTTTTACAAAATTTTGGGCGGCAAACAAGGTGCATTTTGGGATATGTGCAAGTGGCGAATTGTGAACAAGCTGTGGTTCATTTGATCGTTTGCGCTGAACGTGTTTGGCCAAACTAACATCTGCGCCGGCACTTTGCTAGGTTTTGAAAATCGTAAAGGCAAATAAAACAGTCAGATAAGATAGTATTAATATGATCTTTTAGCAGGAGACCAGTGTTTGTAAACGAATGAAATAACTGTAAATCTCTGTTTTGTGTGTCCAAATAATAGTTAAATTCAGTGTAATATAACTGTGCATTGGCATTGCACTTTCTTATAACTTTCCTTTTTGATAAAAATGTCTTGAGAAATCTATATTTCGGCAGGCAATGCTCAACTAATGGCTTTTGACTACATACTTGTTACAAAGTTGTCGTAAAGTTTTTTTTTTCTTGTTGAAACAAACATGTCTAGATTACCTTTTAGTATAAAATATCGATGTAGCTTCGAATTAGTTAACCCTCGTTTAACTCTGTAAAGGACATCAGTTTAACTGCTAAACGTCTGTTAAAATAGTTAGTTGCCGCCTTTCAATAAACTTGTACTGACAGAAGCCTTGCGTAATTGGGTCGGTCACACAACACTTTGCCTCACCCATAATACGTGTCACGTCATTTGACTTCTTGTTTTGCCCTTTCAGGGTGGTTTGTTTTCGCCGTTTAGGTCGTAACGCAGTCCTGTTTTTTCACGCTAGAAGGTGAAGATGCCATGTAAGCATCATTAGATCAGAGAAATAGCTTAGATAGGGCGAGGTAGTCGTCTTAGAAACACTTTAGAGTGCTGTTTACATGGAGCTGATCGTATGCCCTCGAGATAGGTTGAAGAGATCATGATCTTTTCATACGAACTTTTCTGACAAATAATTATAGTCTAAAGCTGGGTCCTGTCAAAGCTCCTTAATACGGATATTAGAAGGTCAGACCCAACTGTCCGCATTACAGATAAGGCAGAGATTGTGTATAGTTCTACTTCTTTGGAGCCAGAATCCATAATAAAGGGGAGTGGAACAAGGACAATTTTGTATTGGCAAATGAACTGCCGTCTCATGGCACCTTAACAGCTATCTCATTTGATCATGCGTTTGTTTCGCATCTGCTGAGAGTAGTTCAATATTTTTTTGAAGTGTATTTCGCTGCTATCGCGAAAGAGTTGATCATGTCACTTATCCCTTTGAAGTAATTTATATGTCGTTTTCATTGCCATACCCCAAAACAAAGGAATAAATTTAAACAAAGGATAGAATTGAACCACAACATATATATGCGCATAGTTTTATATGATCTTGATTTTGTTGTGGCTTGTCTCTCTGACTCATTGATTGTATCTCTGTCAATCAGGCTGTGTGAGGGACAAATTTATTTGACTGCCTGACTTGCTGACTGTCTGTCTGAGAGATTTTATGACTTACTGACCGTCCGTCTCATTGATTGTCTGTGTGACGGTGTGTCTGTGACCGTCTGGCCTAGTGAATGTCTCATGGCACTGACTGCTGCAGAGTCTTTTCAGATTTTGTCTTGCTCACTTTCTGCCTGACTGGCAAGTTATTTTTTATGCCTACGTCTCCTAACCATTAATCGTTTTCGTTTGTTTTATTTTTTTAGGGAAAGTCGAAGTCGTCTTCGTGGTATTAACAAAAGTGGATTCCCTCGAAGTTAGAATCGTGGAATTTAAAAATCGCCCCATGTAAGGGAATCCGCATCCGGAATCCAGGAAATTTCTGCTTGTTGAATCTGGAATCTAGTATCTGGAAATTTGAGTTTTGGTATCCAAAATCCTAGGCTTTGGGATCACGACTACAGCTCAAGGAATCCTGAATACCACTAACTGTTGGATCCGGAATCAGCGTTTCACTTACCAAGAATCCGGAATCCAGTAGCTGGAATCCAGAATCCACGGCGTAAAATCCGGAATCCAAGACTGTCTTGGATTCCCTTATATGGGGCGATTTTAAAGGCCTTGTTTCTCACTGACAAGTATTTTTTTAAAAGAAAGTTCAAAGGTTTTATATTCTTTTCGTTAAGCTTTTTTGTTGTAGACCTGAACATCGGTTCTCAGGTAAAACCAGTATTCAACTTACTTTGATTCTGGAGTTGGTTTTTTCTGTACCCTAATTATTCATAGGAGGCTACAACAAATTCTGGTCCAATCTGAGAACGAATTTTACTAACAACACATGCACAAATATCGAATTCGTTTTAAATCATGGTGGCAACATTAAAGGCTATTTAATATTATGATTATTAACAATAATTGTGTAATGAACCAAAACAAGCTGCCACTCTTGTGTTGTAAAGGTATACAAGGTTATTGTTTTGTCAAAAATTGTAAATAGTTTAAATTATGGTTATGGTAAAGAAAACATTGACTGTCCTCTCTAGGGCCTCGAGTTCGAAAATATATTTTTTACCATGATTATTTCATCGACACTCGTCCTTCGAGGTAACCACTGCTTCCATATGAGGTGGTATCTTACTTTGTTCACATAAAATAGAGTACCATTTATGGGCTGTTTTAATTTCCCATTAGAACGTATTTTCGTTTCGTATTTTCGTCTGATAACGCTACTAGATGATAAAAGTGATAAGTGGATATGGGTTTAAAACGAATCCAATATCCAGCCATCGAACATGCTTGGCCACTGAAGGATATATTTTATGACTAAAAGTGGAAACAGAGCAGGTAAGATATGCGTCGGCCACCCAATCAGAACACAGCGTTTCTTTTATTTTGCCCTCTCGCGGAGTCAGCCAGATAATACATAAGAGATATTACAATGCGTACGTAACAGAATTCTCTTTGACACCAAGAAAAAATCTCACCACACGTGAACTCAATAGGAGCTTCATCAAATTGTTCTGTTAGTTTTAAGCTCAGTTTCGCCACTATTGGTCATACATTGCATTGTCTCTAAAGTTTTATTTACTTACTTATCTATGCTGTTTGTTTCTAAGTTGGCTTGTTCTTATGGTAGGTCATAATTGCATAATTAAAATGTAATACTATTTCGATGGTGCTTTTAAAGCGATGAGGTGGTGATGGAAATTTTTTATTTAGTAAAAATTTACTTAACACGACGGTGCAGTTGTGGATCCTTAAAATAAGTTATCATAAATAAAATGACTTTGGTTCCCCAGCCTGTTATTTGGCCAGGGTTTGGGATGCTTATTCCTGCTTGTTTCTTTTGTTGTTGTTTTGTTTTTTGTTTATTTGTTTTGGTCCTTTTTGTACCTGGTTTAGACTACTACAGAAAGGCTTTGATTATTCTTGTGGACGGAGAACCTGCTAATCTGCAAACGCGCGCACGTCCCATGACAAGAGAAGCAAGTTTCGCTCGCGCGTGATGATATTCCTCTTTCACATTCCATGACCTATGGAACTACGTCTCGTTATCAACGTGTAATTTAGATCAGAGAAGATCCAAACTAAAAAAGGTGCACTTCCAAATGTGCTTAAAAATCGTAAAAAAAGTCTTTAAAGCCGTTCTAGATAGAAAACGTCCCTTTCTACACTATCAAAACATCATCATGGTATCGGACAAAAATGTGACATTTCTTTATCTTTTTTTTTAGCCAAATAGGCCGAGCAAAAGTGTTTCGTGAGGTTCTAAATAAAAAACTACCCTTTCTAGACCATAAAAACATCAATATAAAAGATCGCAAAATTCGCATTTTTCCAAAGGGGTTAGTCCATGGTTTTTGACCCCAACCATTGACTAACTAATCCCTTAACGAAAATGCAAGTTTCGCGACCTTCTCTAAAAACATCAATGCAAAACAGTCACCAAATTTCCATTATCCCAAGGGGTTAGTCCATGCTTTTCGTCAAAAATTTGACGTTTCTTCAACCTTTCTTTTTAGGCAAAATAGGCCGAGAAAAACTGTTTAATGACGTTCTAGATAGAATAATAGCCTTTCTAGACAATAAAAACAATATAAAAAGGTCGCCAAATTGCATTTTTCCAAAGGGGTTGGTCCATGATTTTGGTTTAAAATTAGCCCTTTCTTAAAGTTTTCTTTTAAGGCAAAATATTCCAAGATGAAACTGTTAAGTGACGTTCAAGATATAATAATAGCTTTTCTAGACTATAAAAACATCAATACAAATAGGTCGCAAAATTTGCATTTTTCCAAAGGGGATAGTCCATGCTTCTAGTCAAAAATTGGACATTTGTTCAACTTTTCTTTTTAGGCAAAATAGGCCGAGAAAACCTCTTTGGTAATGTTCTAGATATAATAATAGCCCCTCTAAACTATAAAAACATCAATATAAAAAGGTCACAAAATTTGCATTTTTCCATGGGAGTTAGTCCATGGGTTTGGTCAAAAATTGGACATTTGTTTAACTTTTCTTTTTAGGCAAAATGTGCCGAGAAAAACTGTTTAGTGATGTTCTAGATATGATAATAGCTTTTCTAGACTATAAAAACATCAATACAAATAGGTCGCAAAATTTCCATTTTTGCAAAGGGATTAGTCCATGGTTTTGCTCAAAAATTTGACATTTCTTCACCTTTTCTTTTTAGGCAAGATGGCCAAAAACAAACGGTTTAGTGATCTTCTAGATATAATAATAGCCCTTCTAGAATATAAAAACATCAATTTAAAAAGGTCGCAAAATTTGCATTTTTCCAAAGGGCTTAGTCCATGAATTTGGTTGAAAATTAGCCCTTCCTTAAATTTTCCTTTTAAAGCAAAATATGCCAAGAAAAACTGTTTAGTGACGTTCTAGATATAATAATAGCTTTTCTAGACTATAAAAACATCAATACAAATAGGTCGCCAAATTTCCATTTTCCCAAAGGGGTTAGTCCATGCTTTTGGGCAAAAATTTGACATTTCTTCAACTTTTCTTTTTAGGCAGAAAAGCCGAAAACAAACGGTTTAGTGATCTTCTAGATATAATAATAGCCCTTCCAGAATAAAAAAAAATCAATTTAAGAAGGTCGCAAAATTTGCATTTTTCCAAAGGGGTTAGTCCATAAATTTGTTTGAAAATTAGCCCTTTCCTAAACTTTCCTTTTAAAGTAAAATATGCCAAGAAAAACTGTTTAGTGACGTTCTAGATGTAATAATAGCTTTCCTAGACTACATAAACATCAATACAAATAGGTCATAAAGTTTGCATTTTGCAAAGGGGTTAGTCCATGGTCCAAGTCAAAAATTGGACATTTGTTCAACTTTTCTTTTTAGGCAAAATAGGCCGAGAAAATCTATTTGGTAATGTTCTACATATAATAATAGCCCCTCCAGACTATAAAAACATCAATATAAAAAGGTCGCAAAATTTGCATTTTTCCATGGGAGTTAGTCCATGGTTTTGGTCAAAAATTGGACATTTGTTAAACTTTTCTTTTTTGGCAAAATGTGCCGAGAAAAATTGTTTAGTGATGTTCTAGATAGAATAATAGCTTTTCTAGACTATAAAAATATCAATACAAAAAGGTCGCAAAATTTCCACTTTTCCAAAGGGGTTAGTCTATGCTATTGGTCAAAAATTTGACATTTCTTCAACTTTTCTTTTCAGGCAAAATAAGCCGTAAACAAACGGTTTAGTGATCTTTTAGATATAATAATAGCCCTTCTAGAATATAAAAACATCAATTTAAAAAGGTCGCAAAATTTGCATTTTTCCAAAGGGGTTAGTCCATGGTTTTGGTCAAAAATTGGCCATTTCCTCCACTTTTCTTTTTAGGCCAAATAGGCCTACAAGAACTGTTTGGTAATGTTCTCAATCGAATAATAGCCTTTCTAAACTGTAAAAACATCAATATAAAACCGTCGCAAAATTTGCATTTTTTCAAAAGGCTTAGTCCGTAATTTTAGTCAAAAATTTGATATTTCTTCAACTTTACTTTTTAGGCAAAATAGGCCGAAATGATCTTCTAGATATAATAATAGCCCCTCTACACTATGAAAACATCAGTATAAAAAGGTCGCAAAATTTGCATTTTTCTAAAGGGGTTAGTCCATGCTTCTAGTCAAAAATTGGACATTTATTCAACTTTTCCTTTTAGGCAAAATAGGCCGAGAAAAACTCTTCGGTAATTTTCTAGATATAATAATAGCCCCTCTAGACTATAAAAACATCAATACAAATAGGTCGCAAAATTTAAATTTTTCCAAAGGGGTTAGTCCATGCGTTTGGGCAAAAATTTGACATTTCTTCAACTTTTCTTTTTAAGCAAAAAGGCTGAAAACAAACGGTTTAGTGATCTTCTAGATATAATAATAAAAGTTTCTACAATATAAAAACATCAATTTAAAAAGGTCGCAAAATTTGCATTTTTCCAAAGGGGTTAGTCCATAAATTTGGTTGAAAATTAGTCCTTTCTTAAACTTTTCTTTTAAAGCAAAACATGCCAAGAAAAACTGTTTAGTGACGTTCTAGATATAATAATAGCTTTTCTAGACTATAAAAACATCAATACAAATAGGTCGCAAAATTTCCATTTTTCCAAAGGGGTTAGTCCATGCTTTTGGGCAAAAATTTTACATTTCTTCAACTTTTCTTTTCAGGCAAAATAAGCCGTAAACAAACGGTTTAGTGATCTTTTAGATACAATAATAGCCCTTCTAGAATATAGAAACATCAATTTAAAAAGGTTGCAAAATTTGCATTTTCCAAAGGGGTTACTCCATGGTTCTAGTCAAAAATTAGACATTTGTTCAACTTTTCTTTTTAGGCCAAATAGGCCGAAATGATCTTCTAGATATAATAATAGCCCCTCTAGACTATAAAAACATCAATACAAAAATGTCGCAAAATTTGCATTTTTCCATGGGAGTTAGTCCATGGATTTGGTCAAAAATTGGACATTTGTTTAACTTTTTCTTTTTAGGCAAAATAGGCCGAGAAAAACTGTTTAACGATCTTCTAGATAGAATAATAGCCTTTCTAGACAATAAAACCAACAATATAAAAAGGTCAAAAAATTTGCATTTTTCCAAAGAGGTTAGTCCATAAATTTTGTTGAAAGTTAGCCCTTTCTTAAACTTTTCTTTTAAAGCAAAATATGCCAAGAAAAACTGTTAAGTGACGTTCTAGATATGATAATAGCTTTTCTAACCTATAAAAACATCAATACAAATAGGTCGTAAAATTTGCATTTTTCCAAGGGGATTAGTCCATGCTTTAGGGCAAAAATTTGACATTTCTTCAACTTTTCTTTTTAGGCAAAAAAGCCGAAAACAAACGGTTTAGTGATCTTCTAGATATAATAATAGCCCTTCTAGAATATAAAAACATCAATTTAAAAAGGTCGCAAAATTTGCATTTTTCCAAAGGGGTTAGTACATAAATTTGTTTGAAAATTAGCCCTTTTTAAACTTTTAAAAATGCCAAGAAAAACTGTTTAGTGACGTTCTAGGTGTAATAAAGCTTTTTAGATTATATAAACATCAATACAAAAGGTCCAAAATTTGCATTTTTAAAGGGGTTTTTTTTTTCAAAAATTGGACAAAATTTTCTTTTTTGGCAAGGAAAACTGTTTAGTGACGTTCTAGATATGATAATAGCTTTTCTAGACTATAAAAACATCAATACAAATAGGTCGAAAAATTTGCATTTTCCCAAAGGGGTTAGTCCATGATTTTGGGCAACAATTGGACATTTCTTCAACGTTTCTTTTTAGGCAAAACAAGACGAGAAAAACTGTGTAACGATCTTCTAGATAGAATAATAGCCTTTCTAGACAATAAAACCAACAATATAAAAAGGTCGCAAAATCGGGCAAAAATTTGACATTTCTTCGACTTTTCTTTTTAGGCAAAAAAGCCGAAAACAAACGGTTTAGTGATCTTCTAGATATAATAATAGCCCTTCTAGAATATAAAAACATCAATTTAAAAAGGTCGCAAAATTTGCATTTTTCCAAAGGGGTTAGTCCATAAATTTGTTTGAAAATTAGCCCTTTCTTAAACTTTCCTTTTAAAGTAAAATATGCCAAGAAAAACTGTTTAGTGACGTTCTAGATATAATAATAGCTTTCCTAGACTATATAAACATCAATACAAATAGGTCGCAAATTTGCATTTTTGCAAAGGGGTTAGTCCATGGTTCTAGTCAAAAATTGGACATTTGTTCAACTCTTCTTTTTAGGCAAAATAGGCCGGGTACACCTATTTGGTAATGTTCTAGATATAATAATAGCCCCTCTAGACCATAA